TAGGCATGCTACCCCAGGAAAAATTTGAAATCTTGAAGCTCGCGAACGTAACTTCTAGAAGTCTAAAATTAAATTAAACAGACGGCTGTTTATAATACTTTTTAAGGACACCTCCGTTATTTGCCTTTCATTTCGGACCAGCCAGAATGCTGCGCTCATGAATACACGTAGCAAATTAAACAATCAGTGGCTCGCGGAGAGGCTTTCCTTTCAGCCCGCTTTCATTGAAATTTCTCGTTCTCAGCCTTATTTTCAAACATCCAATTTTCTAATGTATCTACTTTTAACTGCGTCTGCTTCCATTGCTTTCCACTCTACAGAGAAATACTTGTTTCTTCAGAGTGGTTAAGAATTTCACAGAAAGCTGACGAGTCCAATAATTGATTCTACTAAAGTTAGATGCATTCGATTCTGGTTTCAAAGTGAAGGGGAGTACTTCAGGAGATCATTACAGCTGCTCATAAACGATTCTGATTCAAATTCTTCGTCAACACTTTGGTCTGTAGACGAAGAAACTCCAACTTGGACTTTTATTCAACTTCCGTTACGAAGAGCTGGTAGTAAATTCCAGGTAAAAAACAGAAATTAATCCAAGTTATATCGGTAAACTTATTCAGCTAAACCTAACAATATTTCACTTTGCCTCTCAGCATCATTGAAGTCGTCATTATAATGCGATAGAGGTGGCTAAGCAATAAAAGTTTACTTTTCTACGCGGTACACGTAAAATTTAGAAGGTTAACCACTTTCCAATGCCCAACTCTTACACCACAAGACAACATTTGCTAAATTACTTGCACGGAACTAGACTTCGTTATTTCGGAGTCATTTTCCATGCCAACTAATAAAAATCTCTCCTCGTCGTTGATTGCATTACAAAAAAAAACTTACCCCCCTTTATTTCTGTGTTGTTGCAGGTCGTTTTTCTGGGGTTCAAAGAGCAAAATCAGGCGGATATAAAGATCAAAAACATCTCGTTTTCTGACGAAATCTGTAATTAAATTGCAGGTAAGGAACTATACATGTTTAACATGGTAGCAAAAAACATTCCTTACACATCGAAGTTTTCAGTCTTCAGCCTTCAGTCCTCAGAAAGGATCAAGATATTCCATTTGATTCGATCATTTGCTTTTCGATCTAAAGGTTCTTAAAACCTAGTACTGAAAAAAAAAATTCATTAAATTATGCTTTCGCTTAGCGGCAGGGTTAAAATTCAGATCTACTTCGATGCGAGATGCAACAAGCTGATTCCGTGAAAAATAAGATGTTTTCGAGCAAGTACAAAAGCATCAAACCCAGATATAGATCGTAAACATTCTCCCGATGATACCAGAAGATCATTTTATGAATAGAGGAGTCTTTAGAGGCAAAATAAAATCCGTCTCAAGTGACTTAGAGACCAAAATTCTTGGAAAACTAGTATATCACTCATTTGAAATAACCCTACAAATCTGTTAA